TGTAACTTAATATTTTGACAAACTATAAATATTACTACTTAAAGATGGGTTTTAAAACAACTAATGTACATAATATTTACGATCGTCACTTTTTATTTATACTTGTTTTTTTATCAGTTTGACAATCCAGTAGAAAATGTGAATATAAGGTTATCACACATAAGTATCTCGTTCAATTGGTAAGTTATTTTTTTTTCATTTCAAATTTAGTTTTCAAAATACATCTTGTAGCTGTAACTTTAATTTATAACATTATGTAACATTTATATTAAATCTTTTCAGATAAGTGTGTCTGTGGGTATCTGTTTTAGTACTAGAAACACAAATATTGCTGCAATTGTTTAGTGTTAATGACATAAGGTTATTAGTTAGTTAGTTCTTATTTCAGTTGTTACATTTATTTCTTACTTTTCTATTAAACCTTGAGCTTATAGATTATCAATTTATTGTGTATGTTTCTTGTATGATAAAGATATAAACTTTATTACACTGAAATAAAGTATCACTGGTTGTGTGTCATTCACAGAACTTTTTTACTTGGGGTATGACCAAAATAAAGTTAGTCTTGAATCTCTCTTATAAAGAGGAAATCCACCATATAACTGTTTATTTCTGGACTGTACCACCTCTGCAACTATTGACTTACACTTGCCTAATAGAAATATTTATTTCTGTCAATCTCTGAATTAAAAGTTTATAAATACGTATTTAGGGAATGTTACGAAAAAAATTACATTAACCATCAGATACAAAAGTTCTGAAGTATGTATAGGCATTAAGACTACCTTAACATTAGGTTATATTTTTGGCATGTATTGGATGTGACAGGTGGTTGGAAGAGTAGTATCGTGGCTTTAAATACCAGGTAGTTTAACTTTCAGTATTTGCCCTTGTTGTGGAATCTTTAAATAAGTTTATATTTATTTACGTGTAAAGTCAGATATGCATGATTAAAGTGAAAACTATTTTTACACAATAGTGACAATAAATTGTTGATGTTGCATCTTATCTAACAATAATAATTACAACATTAAGGTAATGTACTAGACTATGTAGATGTTTTGTTCATTATTAAACAAACACTTTGTAATGTTATACAAGTATTACATTAAGAAAGTAAAATTATGAGAGTCAAATCTTAATGTAATAATGGCTGGAGACGGCTTGAATGGGTAATGAAGAAAAACTTTAATACAAGTTTAGCATAACAGCAAATTGTCATCATCAAACCTTGTCGAAACGTTGTACATTTGCTGTTATGCTAAACTTGTATTAAAGTTTTTCTTCATTACCCA